TCTCCTATATCAGGAAGAGAAGAGTGACTCATCACTGAAGATGGAGAGGCACCAAGATGAGTCTGTATCATCAACAAACCTTATGAAAATAACCCTTATCTTCCATTCGTTTCCACCAGACATTTCCTAGTCATTTCCCCACAATTTATCATCCCTGGAAGCCCAAACCCCCTTTTCTTTGTTAAAATGGTATGTAAACCCCTGGGTCTAATCACTTCTTTGAAGTTCACTGCTTTTCTGTGCATGTAGACATTAGTAAAAATTGTGTGCCTTTTTTCCCCTATTAATCTGTCGTTCATTAGTTTAATTCACAGGCCCCAGTCACTGAATCTAAGAGGGTAGAGGAAATGTTTTTCCTCCTGACACAGTGGTACGTCCCCATTTCACAGACAGAACATTGAGGCTCAGAGAGATAGCAACTGGAGGCTGTGGATTACAGGGAAGCAGTTCCCTGAAGCCCTGAGGACACATCTGTAATAAACCTGGGTTTCTCAGACTATTTCTCTCAGGAGGGGAGCTGCCCAGGGCATTTGCATGGCAGGCCTGGCATCCAGAGTCTCCATTTCCTTGCCCCTTCCTCAGCCTTCCAGATGTTGTGGCTCAGGCCAGGGATGTGAGGAAGGAATGTGAGACCAGGGCTTAAGCCAAGCCACCCCCTGCCTCTTCCTCTCCTGATTTCCCTCACTCTGAGTCTTCTGGGCAGTTTACACCTGCTCCAGGCTAAAGGTGTGGGTGGTGGAGGCCTGGGGTCCAGCTTCCTGGCACTCAGCCACAGGTTTGGCCTTTGGGTCTAGGGGTTGTAGGGGGCTCTGACAGTGGGCCTTGTTCCCTCGTGGACAGATGGCTGTGGCTTCCCTGGCTCCAGATGGGCCCACGTGCTCCTGAATAGCTTCAGCACCATGGGAGGTGGACCTCTGCCAGAGGGCAGCCCTGCCTTGGTCAGGCAGCTGGTCTAGAAGTCTGCGGGGGTTGTGATTGGCTAAACTGCCTGGGTAGGAAGTCAAAACCCTCTATTTAGCTTTTTTTTTTTTTTAAGGTTTTTTTATTTATTCATTCGAGACACAGAGATACAGAGAGAGAGAGAGAGAGAGAGAGAATATGAGCAGGGGGAGAAGCAGAGGGAGGGGGAGAAGCAGGCCCCCCGCTGAGCAGGAAGCCCGATGCGGGCCTCGATCCCAAGACCCTGGGATCATGACCGGAGCCCAAGGCAGACGCCCAACCAACTGAGCCACTCAGGCGCCCCTCTATTTAGCTTTTTGCTGGACTGGTCACTTCCTAGATGTCATGATTATAGAAGGAGCTCTGCTGCCTTGCCATTTGGAGTCTCTCAGCCTTCTTTGCCCAAGGTAAGCTCAAGGGTTGGGGTCTGGAGCAAGACCTGTCAAACTTTCTGCTTTGGTGCTGGGGTAATAATGTCAGTGGTGGGTAATTGCTCACTCTGGGACAGGTGAGGTTTTGAGAACAGCAGTTCTCAAAGGGGGCTGTTGAGATCATTCCAGGAAGTCCATAAGGCCGACTATTTTTATCATACTATTAAGATGTCCTGTGCCTTTATTTTTTTTAAAGATTTTATTTATTTGACAGAGAGAGACACAGCGAGAGGGAACACAAGCAGGGGGAGTGGGAGAGGGAGAAGCAGGCTTCCTGCAGAGCAGGGAGCCCGATGTGGGGCTCGATCCCAGGACCCTGGGACCACGACCTGAGCCGAAGGCAGAGGCTCAACGACTGAGCCACCCAGGCGCCCCTGTCCTGTGCCTTTAATACTTTCATTCTCTCCCATGTGTGTGGTCGAGTTTCCAGAAGGTATGGGATATTGCAGCAAGCTGAATGCAGAAGCAGATGTGAGAATCTAGCTGTCTTCTGTAAGCTGACATGAACGAGATACAAAAATGTAAAACAAAGCCTCTCTTTTCATGGATTTTTTTTTCTTGAAAATGTGGTTATTTTTCATTAAAAATATTGTTACTATTAGGCTTATTTTATTTTATTTTACTATTAGTAGGTTTATTATTGACTATGATTTAAAAACTAATATGTAGTTTAAAAAATTCTCAGTTTTAATTCCTAAATGGTAAATATCAGTAAATATAGCCCACATAAGTAGATATGCTTTGGGGTTCTCAATAATTTTTTTAAGAATGTAAAGGAGGGGGTGCCTAGGTGGCTCAGTTGGTTAAGCATCAGACTCTTGATTTCGGTTCATATCATGATCTCAGAGTTGTGGGCCCCAGCCCCGTGACAGGCTTCAAGCTCAGGGTGGAGTCAGTCGGCTTGCCCTCTCCCTCTGCTCTCTCTCTCTCTCAAATAAATAAATAAAATCTTAAAAAAAAAAAAAAAGAAGAAGAAGAAGAACAATGTAAAGAGGTGCTGACACCAGAAAGTTTGGGAACCACTGAGGTAGGACAAGGGCCCAATCTGGCTCACTGCCTGTGTTTACAAATAAAGTTTTATTAGAACACAACCACATTCGCTTCTTAACATGTTACCTTTGGCTGCTTTCCTGGTACAACTGCAGAATTGAAGAGTTGCAACAGAGACTATCTGGGTCACAAAGCTGAGAATATTAGTCTCTGATCCTTTAAGGCAAAGTTTGCTGGCAGCTGATGTAGAATAATGCATTTAATTTTCATAAATAGTCTTATTATTATTATTTCTATTTTACAGATGGCAGAACAGAGGCACAGAGAGGTTAAGTCACTTTCCTAAGGTCACACAGCCACTGAGACTGGAGCTGAGTTGGCAGTGGTTCTAGGGAGGATGGTGGTGCCAAGCTCCTCAGGGTCCAATGACTGACCCAAAAGTTGGGGTGTGGTAGATATCTGTGGTTAGTCTCCCACTGCCTGTCCTCTGATTTTCCTTCTTCAAGTACCCTGATGTTCCCTGAGGACCATCCCCCTCCCTGCGTCTATAGATTTTGTGGGAGTCTCTGAAGCCCTTTCTAGGGAGAACCAGGAGCTGCTCTTTCAGACCAAAGAAAGGCCTCTTAGCTCAACTTGAAGAAGGGGTTATAACTGGTCTTTTGCTCACCTGAATCAACACAGTCCGCTGACCTCCTGATCTCAGTGTCTACAGTTTTGTAGCTCTTGCCCATATTCACAGAAGCATTCACGGAATAGGCAGGGAGGTGAGGCCCTGGGGACATGGGGCAGGGTGGGAGCCCTCTACCATGTTCAGCTGTGGGGCCAGCTTCCCTAAGTCTGGAGTGGGAGTGTGCAGGCAGGTGCAGGGTGGGTTGGAAGGGGGAGGGAGGGAAGGCTGTCAGTCCCTTTTGTAAGAACCCCACCTCCACCTGTACCCTGCATCTTTTTTTTTT